AGACGGAGAGAGAGATTTGAGAGAGAGAGACAGTTTTAAATAACCTTTTTGGAATCCACAAGGAGCCGGTGATAGAAAGCCAGGCCCTGCTGTATGTAACTCCACCAGCCCTTAGCGGTTTCCGAAGTGCACTTAGTTGCCAGCATGGGGGGAGGGAGAGGTTTCACCCCATCTACTTCCTCCATGTAAGCCAAAACCCAGTGATTCTTGTTCACGTGAAGAAGGTAAATAGGTTCGTTGGATTTGGAGTCCTCGGGGCCAAGCCTCAAGGGCAGATAGGTGTTGCAGGAATCAAAAGAGAGGAAAACCTGGCGGGTATAAGTATTTGCAAGAATTTGACCATGCGACAACTTGCTGAGCCACTTCCCAGGAGGAACGCTAGATTGGGTGCCATCTACTGTTAGGCCATTGAGGATATTGACTACTTCCTGTTCGCTGCCCTGCAATTTGACGTAACTTGCTCGGTTATCTGTTAAATCGGTGATCATCTCCTGCCGGACCCGCATGAATCCATTATCGTCGTAACCAAGTGCTCTTGCAACACACCGGAAGCCACAGTTGCCATCGCCTTCTGGGTCGAATTGGTCCTTGACCAGATGTTGTAGATGTTTTGGAACCTGTGATTTATATTTGTGCTAAAGGATTACATCAGCTACAAACAATTGACTCAATGATACTTGATGATTAGGAGACACTCACACTTGCCAGCTTTTCATCCAACAAAGCCAACAGAGCGTTATTATTGATTTCGTCCAGAGATTGCTCGGCATCACTATCTTGATTTTCAATTTTTTGTTCACCTTTTGAAGGCTCAAATTGGGTTTCTTCAGGTTGTTTGGCTAGGTCTGCAGTTGGTTCAGTGTCATTGTTGTCCTCATGATCCGGACTGTTGGATTTTCGGAGCCGTTTCAATTGTCTTGCTGGCAACGGTGGGCCAGTTACGCTAACCGTAGTGTTAGTGCAGCGTAGTGTTAGCTTTTTAAGCTACGCTACACAAAAGTTACTGTTAGCGAAAAAATTTGGCCCACTAACACTACAGGATTTCTGAAAAAACAAAAAAAAACTTTAGCGTAGTGTTAGCTGACTAAAAAAAACAGCAACTAACACTAACCAAATCCCTTGTTAGTGTAATTTTAGCGTGGTTAGTGGGATAAAAAGTTACACTAACTGCTAGTGTAACTTTTTGATAAGTTACACCAACTGTTAGCGTAGTGATCCCCTCAGTTACACTAACTGTTAGCGTAACTGATCAAAAATTTACACTAACTGTTAGCATAACTGATTACTGAGTTACACTAACAGTTAGCGTAACTGATTACGCTCCTCCAATTGAAAAAAGTAGGTGGTATCACTAGGGGTGAGAGTTTGTTTGAGAATCTGGTTTCGAAGCTCCTGTTTTTTTTGGCTTGGCACCGTTTCTTTGCTGCTTTCATACTGGCATTATTATTACTATCAAGAGATAAATTAGTCCCCAGGGTTTGAATCACCCCAAGATCCATTTATTCCATCATTTAGTAGCCAGCTGCAGGAAAGGGAAACAGGAAGAGTAAGAAGAAGCAAAAAATTAGATCAGCAACCTGCGGAAGCTTAACACAAATTTGAAATCATACCGCTTTTTTGGCCCGTCCTGTTTGTAATCCACAGTCAATGGTCAAGAAAATGTGTGTGGGGGTACCTAAATCAAAGAGGGGGGAGGTTAGCAAGCATCGGAGCCATGGTAGCAGTCTTCTAGTTTGTTCCCTTTTGGGGAAGCGATTGATTTTTGCTGGTTGACTTTGAGTAGCGATAACTTTTGCAAAAAACGTCCGATTTCCTCAATTTTTGGTTCGTTGGAAAGCTGACATCAAGGGCTACAACTTTGTCAGCCACTGTGTTGACTAAAAGCGAACGGTTGCTGAGATCGAATTGATTGAAGTTAGTCCAATGCAATCCAATGAGAGACCTAAGTTTCAGAAGAGGGAGTAAGCTGAAGAGAGTTTTGGATTGGAGGATATAATGGAGGTGGTTGTGATGAGTATTTAATTGAGATGAAGATCAGATTGAGCTTTGATGAAGTTGATGATGAGGATGAGGATGAAAAATCTTGATGGGGTCTTTGCTTTGGATCGGAAGAGATTGGAGGGGAGGTCGACATCCATCTCCCCTTGCTTGACTTCAGGTCAAACTCAAAGCCCAGGGGAGTGAACATGTCACAGGCATGGTCATGGACATCCTCCTTGCTGACTGACTCCACTCATCAACCATTCTTATGTATGCTAGTCATGTGGACAGGAGATGTCTGGAGATGCTACTAACCTGTCATGTCAAGTGTTCAATTCCACCTCAAGGCATGCATTTGTGTTATTTTCTCACTTGAAATTTTTCATTTGTCCACCATTGTGTAGTGTAGCGTAGTGTGGGACCAGTTACGCTAAATGTTAGCGTCAACTCAGTTACGCTATCTGTTAGTCAAAATTTTGTTAGTGAAAAAAAAGTTACACTACCTGTTAGTTTAGCGGTGATTATTTGAAGCTAACACTACAGAAAATTTGAGAGAAAAATTTCACGCTACGCTGGCAGTTAGCTCAGCGGTGTTTAGCGTGCGCTAACACTACAGATTTTCTAGAGAAAAAAAAGGCCGCTACACTAACAGTTAGTGGTCAAATAGCGTAGTGTAGCGTAGCGGCCCACCGTTGTTGCTGGGTTGCCTGTGGGTTTAGTTGTTCTTTTCTTGTTTCTTTGTTGAGTCTTGATCTCACTTTCAACAATCTCAAAGCCTGAAGGATCTCTTTTTGTTGATGTTGAATTTTTTTTCTTGAGTGATGGTCGTCCTTTAGGATTTTTCTTGACCTCTGGAGCTTGAATTCGAACCGCTACGTGGGTGCCTGCTGTGATTTGCTTAAACTGTGTGAAAATCCGCTCCAATTCGCTAGGATGTTGTTGAGAGAGAGCCATCTTAAGTTTGTTTATCTCTTCATTGAAATCAAAATCGGACTCCACAGGTTCCTAACAAGACATTGAATTCAAAGGATGAGTAAGATGTGAAGTTGGCATCTAGTTAATTAACTGAAACCAAACTCACCGATGACTCAGGGTTGTATTGTAAATGCCACTGTAAATGAAAATCTGCAGGAGATAATCCATTGCCTTCTTCCAAAATTTCGGCTATCTTGTGGGCACAGGGTATTCCCAGCCCCTTTGTAAGGGTTTGAGAGCAAGGTTCGGTTGGGTCGAGGTTTTTAAGACGCCAAAATTGGCCTTGGCATTCTAAGATTGCAAAAGTCAAGATCTTGCCAATCAGAGGGATGAAAACATTTGGGATATCAACAAGAACCTTTGTGGTATCCTTGCCAATGGATTCATGAACTGAGTTGAGTTGGTTGTCGACTGCAACGGATAACGAGCCGAAAACCAAAAGAAGGTCGCCTGTTGAGTCTTTGATAAACTTCTTGAGATAAGCGTGACCGGATTCAACTCGCGAGGTATTGAGATTTCGGAGGTGAGGATACTGGCAAGCCCACGCAACAACAAACAGTTCCTTCACTGGAATGATCCACTTCTCAAGGTATTCCAGCACAGCAGGGCGAGTCGCCAGTGAGAGTTTTAACTTGTTATATTGTTCAACGTATATCTCGGGAGATTTTGAGGAGGTGACGTTTGCCCAAGAAGACATGAAGGAATCCCAGCTGTCTTCTGAGTCCCCAGCAGCAAAGTACTTCTTGCAATTTGACGAGATATTCTTGTTGAGGTGCCATGTGCAGAGGTTGGCTTTTGAATCAGGAAAGGCGACCTCCAACGCATTTTGTAAAGCGGTATCCCGATCAGTGATGAAGACCTTTGGTGTCCGTTCGGGTTTCCAGATGTACTTCTTGAGGTTGTTGACAGCCCACAAGTAGTTTTCCTCGTCTTCGTCGGTCAAATAGCAGAAGGCAATACTGAAGGAGCGATTCGTTTGAGCCTGACCAATGATGTGTAGCAAGGGAATGTTGTACTTGCAGGTCTTGTATGTTGCATCAAGTAATGCAACATGGTGATTAATTCGAGCCAGGTGAATTGAGCCAGGGTGAGCAAAAAAGAGATTCAGAATGGATCCCTTGTCATTGACCTTGACGTCCCAAGACCAGTTGGTCTCCTTAAGGATAGATAAGAGGGCTTTGGTTGGGCTCTTGCCAGCCAGGTCGTCTCGACGGATCCGTTGAAGTGCATTCGAGACAGTCCGGTTGGTCGCCAACACGTCTTTATCCGCTGTTCGGAGTTGTACTAAAATCTGAGCTGGCTTGAGGTTTGATTTGGAAAGGCGTCGGATCTCTTCCACTTGGTCAGGTATCAAGTGTCTGTGAGCAGCATGGGAAGCGGGCCCAGGTGAAGGTTCGTGGTTATGCTGGGCATTACGGATTTGCAACGTCCAAGTTTTGTTGGTGATCTTCTTGCTTGTTGGTACTGAGCCGTACAGTTCGAAAGGGCAGTTGATCTTTGTTGTAGCAGTTTGTCGAGCAGATGTCTTCAATCCTGAGCCACGATATTGTCCTGACCAATCACATTGGATGTACACGTTCTTTCCAGTGACTGAATTTGCCTTGCTGACCGCGAATCCATGATTTTTAGCCCACATTTGACAGAAGTTGAACAAGTCATTTGCTGACAAGAACTGATGCGCAGGAGGGGGAGCTAATGGTTCTAGATAAAGAAAAACAAACAATGTAAGAAAAATGAGTGTGATCAACAGGAAACAGACATGAGATGAAATCCTTACCACCAGTTGTGTAGTCAAAGTTGTCCAGATCAGTGATCAATTTTGGGGTTGGGGTTGAGTCAGGAGGGAATGTGGTCACTTGAACATGTGTGGGTGTGTTGGCTGTAGCAAGATCTTGGTTGATGGGAGGTATGGCTGGATTTTCAGGGAGGGATTCGGTATTGTCAAAATCTTGAGGGATGGTTGCAGGAGGTGGATCCGGTTTGGAGGCCAAGGTTGGGGCCAATGAGTGTCCTGTTGCGATCGAGGCCAAGTTCATCATCGGTGGCGTGCCCGGATTCATTGCCGACATCGCTCCTGAAGTTGCCAATGAAGCTGCTGTATTCATCGCTGACATCGCTCCTGAAGTTGTTGCCGGCCTGGACCCGGAAGTGTTTGCCAACAGAGCTCCTGTAGTTACGGACGAGTCCACCAAGCTTAACGAGTTTAACGACGGCACCGTTCCTGTAGTTATCGAGGTTGAGGCCAGAGCTGGGGCTGGGGCAAACGGCAATCCTGTAGCCATTGTCGACGAAGCTCCTGTACTGCCTCCCTGGAATAAAGTGAGCATCGATTGGAGTTGCATCAGCATTTCGGGAGGGACAACCACACCGTTGATCGGCATGCTGGTGTGATCGTTTGTTGACATTGCTTCCACTGGGGGTGAGTGTCGATGGTGGCTTTGGGGTACGAGATGATCGGAGTCTAGATGATTGGAGTCGCGTGGGTTCGTAGAATTTGTAGAGTGTCGAGTCGGTGTTGATGGTGGTTGTCTTAGGGGATAAGGGTACATATGGGTGGGTATGTACCCATCATATGGATATCGCACTCCGCTCCACTATGTTTGGGAGTACACAGCGGCGCACTCCTAAAAAAAGTGGAGCGGGGTTCAGATAATGGAGTGTCAGGTTGTGTACTCCAAGGTCATTGGAGTGGCCACCAGCGCACTCCCCAGATCACTGCTCCAAAAAGGAGGTTGGAGTACACGGGCTCCGACTCCAAGTTTTGTGTAGTGCACCTTGGTGTACACCAACCAATTGGGAGTGCACACTCACACACGCCTTTTTGGCGTGCGCGGGGGTTTTTCTTGGCATGCAAAAAGGCGGACCCTATTTTTTTTGGCAGGAGTTTTGATCATCAAGTGGGAAACTCCCACCAAAAAAAAAGTATGCATTATAATCTTATGCACTCTATGATTTCATGCATTTCAACTTTGAATACCATAATTATGCCCCTGACACATAAGCTTTGACAACTCAACAAGGATACAACTGGCTTGATGTTGGAGCCAGGCTGAGCCAGGTTTTTGAGACCTGCATCACAAATAAATCCCACCCTCCATGGTCAGAGTCCTCCTCAAGCTAGTTGATTCCTGTTGATTTTATGCAGTCTATGTATATGAATAGATGAAAAAGAAAGATATTTGAGGTTGATTTTGTTTTTGATTGGACAATCTTTGTTGGAATAGCTGTACATGAAAAATGTTTTCTTGGATCTTGCAAATTGGCAAGGCCAACTTTGACATTGATTTTCATTTGATTAGGCTGGTATATTACATCTGAGGTTCAAGGCAACTTAGAATATTTATAGATAAAAATTTATGACTGTTGTCAAACCTCATGAACTATCAGGTTTGGAGCAATTTGAGTTTTTTTTTTTGAGAAATTTGGAAAATTTTAGTGATAAATGTTATTAAATTTGACTCATAGTTCAGACATGAGCCATGCTATTGGGTGTATGAGACACATGATAGAGAATAAAATTGAAAGAATTTGAAAAATGAAGGTTTCATTTCTTTATAAGTTTTAATAATTTTATAGAGAAAAACATGAAGATAATTTTTATAATTTATAAATAAAGATAAGCAAAATTTTTATTACCTGAAGGGAGAATAAAATTCTGCAAAGATAGAGCTAGATAAATTGAGAAGTGAAAGATATAAACACTTGTCGGGTTTGAGTAATGATAATAATAATACGCTAACTGTTTGAACAAGTTCATTAGTTTCTGTGTTTTGCTTTCTGTTTCTTTTTAATCAATGTTATCGTAAAGAAGAATTACTTTACGATAATTTTAGATCAAGAGATCTAATGAAAATGATTGCTTTACGATAGACAATTTTTGTTGGATGCTTCTATAATTCATATAGAAAAATAAATAATAATTAATATATTGATTCTCTTTCCTTTTTGTTAAGGAAAGGCTTCTTACCGGTTTGAGGTAGAGAGATACAATCAATGAGATGAAGACCATTATAGGAGACTTGATGTGAACTAAAGGTGAAGAATTGAAGGAAGAGGATCAAGTCATTAGACGTGTGTTCCTTTTCTTTCTCTGATCACAATCCTTCGATACTCACTTGAAGTTTGTTGATTGATGATCGCGATCACCTAGAGTTATGACGTCAATGACATCATCTCCTAAATCGCAAGCTTTGAGCTTGGCATTCACATGTTCATTTGTAGAACAACTTGTTTCTGTACATACAATGATCAAACAATGATGATCAGTATGATTATTCTCTTCTAGGAAGTTTATACTTTTAAAGTATAACTTACCCAAGGCTCTCCTCTTTTGAGGGCTAAGTTTAGGAATTGAATTCCAACAAAAATAAGCTAATTATGAAAACCAATCAAGGTAAGACTTTTTCACAGGAAAAGAAAAGCAAGGAAAATCCAAGATGCAAGCCAACCCAAAAAAATGAACAGGTAAAAAAACTGATCAACATAGAAAAGCAAGCCAAAAAAGATTTTGTTTTCAGAGGTGACAGATTTCAAATGAGATAAAACAAAAAATTCAACCAATACATTTTTCAGAGGTTATGAAAATCAATCAGAGGTGAATAATGTCAATTATGAGATGAAAAAGGAAGCCAGCCAAAGTTTTGTTTACAAGTCAAGAGAGCCAATCAAATTTAAATAATGCCAATCAAATTAGAGGTAAAAATCCAGTTGTCCTATTTTTTATAACTCTGTGTGATCCCTCTGGGAAACCACCATCTCAAGTGGGACTCAATTACTTCTCACAAGCAAAAGTCCAATTATCCACAATCTCAACCTCATCTCATTGTCCTAAACTCTATTACATTCCCTTTTTCCCCTTTCTGAATTTTATCATCTCTGTATCCTTCACTCCTCACTTCTCATCTCCCCCTCTATCCCTCATTGATCACTAGTATATGCCCCCAAATTTGGGGAGGCTGCTTGTTTTTGCCCAGGATGTTGGGGATTTTACTTGTTTTAAGGTCCTATGGTGTAATAGCCTTTGCTTTTGAAGGTCCCTATGATTGTGAAGTCTTAAATGACATTGAAATGTGCAACATCAACACCGGTGTGGTCATTATTCCTGTGTATGAAGGGAGAAAAATTCAAAATTTTATTATTTATCAATGAAGGACTCAAGATACGGACAAATGGACGTCAGAAATGGAATCTACGGCCAATTTAACCCCTAGTCACTCACTGGAACCACCTTCATATCTCTACTGGATCAGAAGTTACGCAGAATCAAGGATGTCACACGGAGAATCACAGGATCAGAGGCACTCAGCTGGAGGGTATATTGCATGGGGGTATATTGCATAATGCATATTGAATTCCTTTTATCCATATTGAATTCCTTTTATACTTACAGAACCACAAGTTGGCCACCAGTTGTACCAGTTAAATTCCCATTTATTCAGCCACAGAACACATGAATTCCTTTCTTACAGCTTACATATAAAAGGGATGCATTGTAGATAGTCTAGCCAAAATCCCTCAGGATTTTCAAGGATAGGGCAGCTAAAATGCCTCATACAGGGGGTCCCTTGGGGCTAAAATCCCTCATATTTTACTATATAAGGAGGCCTCTGCCTGCCAGTTGTTTCCCTCCTCATCCCACTCAGTACACATTTTTGGTGGGACACCTGTCACAGATATTTATTACACAAGAGGTTCACAAGTAGTACAGTTCACAGTTGAAATATATACACAGTTCATTTCACAAACATTACACAGAAGAACCAGTCCTTTGTTCCAGTCCTGGTTGAAGCATAGTGCTCCCAGACCCTTTGGGTTCAAGAACCACCTCTATTACATTATACATATACAGCATCAAGGAAGAACACAAGTATCAAGACATCAAGACGAGAAACAACATCAACAACTCAATCAATTCTTTGGACAACAAGATCAACCTTCAACAATTATACAACCATCTTTGAACATAATCCATTATCACCAACCAAACTGCCAAGCTTACCTTGGTGGTCTTGTTTTCTGATAATATAGAAAGGCAGAGTTTGCAGCTCATTTCATCCCTTTCTCCATTCAGCAAAAAGGATCTTACAATCACTTTTTGAGTCTTACACCGGCGTTAGAAGCCGCATGAGAAATCAATACAAAGGCTGACAGTTTGTTTGGCCCTCTGAGGCCATTTTTTTAGTTATATGTAGATTCCTAAATCCCTTCAATCAACCCTCAACATAATCTGTCCTATTTTGGCCTTGTCCATTAACTTCAACTCTCTCTTGACTTCTTTGAACTATTCCCTTCTGTTTTTTTTGACTTTGTTGATCCTGATCATCAACTTATGTTGGACCATGTGTCTGATTCCAATTTGATGAGAATTAAGAACAGTTACCATCATCATCTTCATCAAACACTTTTCATTTGGCTAATCATTGTTTCATATCATTTAGTCCTGTGTCTCCTTGATTTCCTTAATCATTATTAGATTTTGGATGATAATGTATGTTGGGGTGGATGTTCTTTCCATCATCCTTTTATTTATTTGTGTTGTTGTTTTTTGCCTAATAAATGTTCTTTATTTGTGTTCTTTCCAATTGAAGTTTGGTTCCAGCTTTTTAGCAATCAATTCTCAAGTTCTCTCATGTTCAATGCTTTTATCAGAGGTTAAGAAGCCTAATAATCAAGATGAAAAAGCAAGTAAAGCAAGGAGGAAACAGTGAAACAAGGTAGCCATTCTATAAAAAAAGTAAAAATGATATGTTAGTCACCTGGAGCAATGAAATTGAAGTGGCTGAACTTGACTAAAGTCAAATGCTGTCTTTCCCATTGGCTGCCTCCTTCTCAAGCCAAGTATGGCAGACTTCATAATAAATCTCTTCAGGATTCTGTTGTTGATCGACCAGCCAGTAGAGTTCATCTCGTAATGAGCTCAAGGAGGGTGCTTTGTGGGTTGGTTGTCCATTGACAGCTTTCTTCCTTATTTCTTTGGCTGAGTTTTTTTGTCTTGTGAACAAGGTTTGCTTTTTGGTTGTGGATTGAAGTCAAGACTCATCACAAGCCAAAATCACCCAGAGAGCATTTAACAAACAGCATGGGTCAATTGAACCCATTGAGGATTCGTGAGGCCATCTGGGGAGGAGGAGTGAGGATGAGTGGAGGACTTCCCGTCAACATCTGCGGGTCTCCCAGAGTCGGTTTAGAGCCGCAAAATTCAAATTCCTCTGCAAGAATTAAGAGTTTTCGGGTCTAGATCGACTTCTGCGAGGGTCCCAGATCCGACGGGAAGTCCTCCACTGATCGCATTTTCCGGCGGAGGTTGGTTTCAAGTGTAAAGAAACATCCAGAGATGAACCACCTCAACGCCCGGCAAGACCCATCGGACTCAGACTCAGACTCATCCCAACTGGCTCAATACACACTAGGATTCGATGATGGAAAGATTAATAAGCTCTCAGAGGTAGAGCAGTACTCGATATCTCGGATAGGTGGCATACCAGTTGAGTCTTTGCAAGATCACTTGAACCGATTTATTAACTCATCGAGAATTCGTTTTACTAATGACTTGTTTCTTTCGACTTTCATGCAGGTTCTTCCACCATTCGAAAACACCTTGGTCCCAGAGAAGGACCTGGAATGTCTGATATGTCAAAAACCAATACCAATGCTAGTCCAAGTCTACTGTCCCAGTGACCAAAACCCATACCAGGATCGGGTAATATATCTGTTTGGATGTACCGAGCAGAAATGTCAAACCCAGGGCTCATCGAAATGGTATGTAAGCAGGCAGTCTCAAGGGAAACGCAATCCGCCCCAATCATCTGCACCATCACGAGAAACTGACCAAGTATCATCTGCTTTTTGACGAACAGCGTCAGAGGATTCAAGTCGTGGAAGTTTAACGAGGAGTACTATAGGCAATTATCAGCCCAGCAGACCCGATCCTCTCTCCCACAAACTGCACTCAATAACCAATCCGACCTGGGGGACAATCCATTCAAGATGGTAAGAAACTTACTTCATTTTTTTTTTCACAAGAAGACATCTATGGAGGCTGCACTGCCCCACGGCAAAAATGATGTGCCTTCGACCACTGAACTAAAGCATTTCTTGGGCCTCCATATCTAACCATAGAACACTCACAACTTGTTCGGACAATCGTTTGATAATCCTTTTTCAGCACCACCGGCTCCTACTCAAGATCCTCCTCCGGCAGTAGCAGAGTCGAGTCTACTCGAGAACCCATTCTCCAATCTGAGCCTCGGGGAAAAGGAGTCTGCAACTACCACCACATCGTCTGCCCAGAAACATAACGCGAAACTAGTGGCCAGGTTGCCTGCATTATGCACACCACCTCACTATCTGGCTACCGATTATGAAGTCAAGCCAAAGCTTTCGTCGTCCACCACGTTCAAGGAGTTCTTGGATGATCAGACTCAGCCCCCTCATCCTTCTTCAGTCACCTCCTCAAAAAAGTCCGAACAGAATGGACACTCCAGCAAGAAAAAAAATGCCAGCTCAGGGCCACCGACTACTCCCTCCGGTCCATCCGGGGCGCAAGAATCTTATGAGGTCCAAGCCGTCAAGGGCGTCGATCCTGCGTTCTTGGACTTCCAAGATCGGATTAATTGGAACGATCAATCCACTCAGATCATCAGGTACGTCGATGAACGGCATGTATGCCTATATAGGCTTTCCAAGGCTGATACAGACAAGCCGAGAGTTGACATCCTTATTGCTATGTATCCAACTTTGTTGTTCATGAAGGTATAATCCTAATGGAAGAGCATTACCCGTCCATTCCACTAAGCCAACCCCATCGATTCCAGCATTACAATGTGGCCATCAGAGTCGCTTCGAGCTTCAATTGATGCCAGCCGTCTTGCGCTTGTTTTCCTGCCCGATCGACTGGACTACCGTTTGGATCAACGACTGCGTTCAGGACTGTTGTCGCCCCGCTAGCGACGGCGGTTGTCGTGAGGGATGGTCTGAAGTTCAATGCTACGTTCAATCCGTCCTTGATTAACTTCCTATAGGTATACGTCTTGGTTTCTCTTTTGGTCAGATGGAATTTCTTCCTCCTTTTTTTACGGATGTTTTACAATATTTTACCATGCTCATTACATTTTATCGGAAGCTTATTGAGTTAGCATTTAATCCTCCATATGCAAATTTCAATTTTTTTTCTTCTTGTTTTGCCTTGATCCAAATAGCCACGACCGAACATGAAATTGAAACGCAAAACCCATAATCATATGAAAAATTCAAGTTTCCTTTTCTTTAAAAGAGAAAAAAAAATCAAGGGTATTGACGATTGTCCTGTCATTGATGGATGAAATGAACATATCAGAAGATACAGATACATATAATTGAAGATCTTCCCTTTCATTATCATAAATATTTACAGATAAGATATTGACAATGTGGTAACAAGAGATAGGTATTGTGGTGCATACCATGCGGGAAATTGTGAAAGCTTGAGTCCGCATAAAGCACTCCAAAAACAAACACATCATGATGTATCAGTAGTATAAAGAGTCAAGAGAGTCCAATTACCAACAGGGTCCCATTCCCGGAGTACTTCAAAACCAAAAAAAGGAAGAGGATAGCTTCATAAGAGAATGGTGTATTCATGTTAAGGAGTACAGAGATGGATAATAAGTATTTATTTATGTAAAACAACAACACCAACAGGACAATACAACAACATCAATGAATGAATGACTAGATCAAAAAAATAAAATAAAGAAAAACAAGAGAATGAGAGTGTAAAGTGTTGTACAACGAGTTGATGACTAAAGAAATAAAAGGTTAAGGAAACGATTTTTTTGGATGATTTGTAAAGTAACAAACAACAACATGAATTAGCTCAACTATTTGTGTTTATGTGAGTGAGTACATAATGATTAGGCAAGTTGAAGGAAAGTTTGGCGAAGAAACTAATTGAAACAAACGGAAAAGAGAGAGAAAAAAAAAAGAGCATTCTGTGTGACTATGTATGGACATATATCAAACAATCCAATCGATAAGTAGATCAATAGATAGATAGAAGAATTGTGAGTAATTTTGTTTTTTTTATGTTTTTTTTTTATGTTTTTCTTTATTCTTTTTTTGGGACAGTGAATGGGAAGAAGAAGAAGAAAAAAAGAGAGGGAGAAGAAGAAAATGATTGATTTCAAAGATTGGGATCGCAAGTAGAAGGAAGGAGAGAAGAGATCGGAAGCGAGTTTCTGCAAAGGTGTTTAAGACAAAGCTTAGGCTGATGGCGCAAGTTGAGCAATCCTTTCCTAACTCTCGGAGGCAATCTTTTACCCCAGAGCCTAAGTTGGACGGGATCAAGCTCGAAATCTTCTAGTGCAGAGAACAGAGAAGAGCGCTGATCGTCGGTCAAGGAGAAGAGAGTTTTGAGGGTTGAGCGGTTGTAGATCGACGAGCTCTTCAACAATCTCGTCACTCGAGCCGTTCGAAATCTTTCGAATACTGGAGGGAGAGCCATTATTTTTGACGTCCCAGCCACCGTCTCGGAGCCGGCTTTGGCCCATCTTCTCCTTCTATCGGATCGGCAGGGATCGGGTTGGTCCTGGTTGCTCGAACGCTCACTACCCAC